TTGCAAGCTCGCCATGAATCTCCACGCATGCAAAGACACCACTTCGGCTACCCGTCCTTTAAGGCGCCAAATGCCTACAGCAGTCAAGGGTCAAGGTTTTTCTTTTGTACATTTCACAGAGATCACCGAGCTTGACTGGCATTCACCATTGATCATGGCACGACAGGTGTGGATGTTTCTGGGTATGCCCCCCCTTTCAAAAAGGGGAAGCCAACAAAAACCAGCCTCAGCTTGAGACAAACCCGGGTCCGCTGGGGTCAGGCCGAATCCGAGCCGTACGGAGCTTCGAGCGTGGACCGTCCCAAACCCCATGTCCTTCCCAAAACCCGATGACCAAAGGTGAGGATTCAACCATATATGAAACACGTGCCTCTACTGAAGTGAGCAGCGGATTTGGGAAAAAAGTCCGGTTGCCCGGTTTCGCAGGAAATTTCGAAGCCAAACCCGTAAATTTGATGGTTGTTTGGCTAACTTTGTCTAGAATTGTCTGTCCGAGGGCTCCCATGTTGTCAGGGGCCCGAACCATCATATCATACGAGTATCATAAAGCCCCTATTGGGATTGCGGGGGGCTTATTGGCACTTGACCTCACAAAAGGGAGAGGTTCTGGCAACCGCCTCCCCGGACTCGAGCACCACCTTCACCTGCATGGCGAACCTCGGAGTTTCGACTGACGGATTTGGTTCAGACCCGGTTCCCGTAAATTCCAAGACAATTAGGGACCCCCCAAACCTTGTTCCGCGAATTCTGGAACTATTCAGCGAGCTTGGGGCAGCTTCATCCTGAAAGGTCGAAATCCAAGTCAAGGTGCAAGGTTGCGAATTTCAATTGCCCAGGAAAAATACGAGCCTGCCAGGACCCCGCAACAGGCATCAGAATTGGCTGTCATGTGACTGCACCTGGTACAAAATTTTCTACCCACCAAAAGCAAATTGTTTTCCAGGGGTGGTGTTTAACATCACCCGAAAAGGAAAATATAAGGACCCCTGCACTAGGTTTCTCTCCAAGTAGGGGAACAATCAAGTGTTCCATCGGAACTATCCGCAAAAGGGCTCCCTCAAGAAGACCCACTCGTCGGCTCAAGCATGGCACAAACCAAACGGTATCAGAAGCATCGCGTATTGGTTAAACCTCACCGCAGGAAGTTCCAAATGCTGAGCCCCAGGGATTGGCTAGAAGACCGACCACTCATGGACTTTCTTGCGCCTGCACAGGGCCAAACCACAGCAACATGTCATTGCCCTTCTGCCTCGACTCATGAGCAGTTACAAACCAGTGACCAGCTGCCCGGAGAAAACAAACTAGCACCCAGCCAAAAGTGAAATGGCATCAAGTGTCTGAGCTAAAAGCCTATGCAGCAGCGGCAATGTCTCCAGTCAAGCTGAGCCAAACGGGCATCAGGGTCGCAGCTGGAGCAGGACGCAGAACGCTGAATCCTGATGGCGTCTCTGTTCAAATATCACATGACTCCCTGCCATGAGCCTTTCCTCAGCACACCCTGTTGCCAGGCCATCTGTGTTAAACAAGTAGGCTCCCTGAACCCAACAGGGGCAACAGGTTGCCAGCAAACGTTGCAATGCAAGCTGCTGGCTGCAAACCTTCGAGAGATTCATGAGATTCAAAGCAAACAAATTGCTCGCAGCAAAACGTCAGTCCAAGTGCACACCGACACTCACGTTAGCGAAAAACACGACAATAGCTGCGAATCAAATGGCACTCACTTGCACAAAGACGTGCGCAGGTCAGCGTCAATGAACTGTGCTAGCCCTCACTAAACCTCTGACAAAGCGTGCAGTGCGAGTCGGCCTTTGCCAGTAGCTCTCTCGCGTGTGCTGGAGTTCGGTCCTGGGTTCAAAAGAATGCTCATCCTTTTTTCCGTGGAAAGCGGATCGCATGCTCTCGTGGTTCGCTGAGGAGTTGTCGCTGGCCTGGCAACGGCTGTGACCAAGAAAGCCGATGGCAGAAAGCTTCCCCGTGGAACTGCAAGGCTTCGGCACGACAACACGAAATGGCTCCATCGCTGACGGAGCATTGCTGTGCGGGCTGCCAAAGGGGGGGAAAAACATGGTGTGTGTGTGTGTGGGTTCCACCATGTTCAGTCGCCGGACGGTCGGTTTCAATGAATCATCTATTTGCAATCCGCGTTTAACATGTAACCCGAAAAGCCCATGCATTTTGAAAGTCCTCTTTAAAGGTACCCCACTAGGGGTTCTCTTGCAATAGACGCACCCATTTCTTGCGGGACCTGTTTTTGGGGGGTTGGGGGAAACTCGTAATGTGCACCAATCAGCGCAGAGCTCCAGATTTGTTCCCTTTTCTGCACAAGCGTCGCAAACTGGGTGCCAAATCAACATGGGCCTCCGGCACATGTGAAAAACATGTTCACCCCATGTTAGTTGAGGAAATGATCCATGGGCAAACAAACCAGAAGTAAGGAGTTCCACAAGTAAGGACCCGCATTATGTGTGAACTCGTTTGACGGCGATCTCGCTACAACTTGGGCAGAAATGTGTACCATTTGGCACCCAGCAAAACACACAGCGCCACTGGCGATATGCACAATGTCGGGCGGCTCTTCTGGCCACCTCTCTGGCGCCAGGATCCAACAGAGATTCCCTGAGTTCAGCCAAACTTCCCAATTCAATCAACCGCCATCACAAACAGCAGTTCAAACACATGCTCAATGCCAGTGGATGCTCCTTCCACCCTGCATGGCATCGAAGCGCGGCACCCCCACATTTGGCTTCGAGAAGTCTGCCGCCCTTTCCCTTGAGACGGAGCTAACGCTTTCGGGGAACAAGGGGTCACAATGGGTCAGAGGGATACAAAGAAGCGCCAGGGCATCCTGGAGTCGCTGAATACGTCTACAGACCTTCTACGTCATCTCGCGCTAACGGCATAACCTTCCGGCTTGAAGGGCTCAAGCATCGCCTAGCTGGAAAATGTTGAAAATTATGAAGGCCTCCCCGTAATGGATGTACCCCTCCCAGCTCAACTCAGGCGTGGGGACGCTCAAACACTTGGAATTGTCTCACAATATGGAAGCCAACTCAAACTGGGGTTTCCCTCTGAATTCCTTTCAGAACCACACCCCAACACAGGCACCCACCAAAACACACAATACAAGGGCCCAAATACTTACGCACACGTTACATGAGCCCCCAACAACACCATTCTTATTAACTCAAGCCCTTACGGATGTGCTCCTGGGAGGGTCTATCTTCTTCAAGTTGGTTCAAAAGGAAAACCAAAAGGACAACTGCCATTTTGTTGGATTCCCTTATCTTTGCATACGCCCTTAGCACCCACTTATTGGATTGTCTCGCGGACCGTTCAGACAGACGCCCAGGGCACCGAGGCTGCCCGAAGAAGCCTTGAAGCGGCGCTCAGGTTGGCCGCCCCGTCCGTGGAGCCTCGCGACTCGTGGCCGTGGTCTGAAAACGGTCTTCCGCTTGCCTTCCCCTTGGCTATTGCCCTCGGCGCTTCAAACAGAACTCTTTATCGGCTAGCTGAAGCTTGCCCCACATGACAAGGACAGCTCTGAAGCATCGTCGCAAATTACCCTAGTTATTCACACTGATAATTCAGATCATCAAGCGAAGGACCGCTTTGCCCCCAGATCGTTGGAATCGGTCGCTCCAATTTGCCAAAGAACGGGAAACTCAACGGGGTGGCATGGTGGAAATCCCATTTTTTGACACCCCCATGAAACCAGGTAATTAGTACAACCGCCTATTAAATTGGACAAATAGCCAACAGGGGTTGGGAGCTTCTCAACACGGTGGACGCCCTTTTGGTTGGTAGTTTTAGGGAAGCCAAATGAAAACCCTTGCCACCTTAGGGGGCCGATTTCTAGATTCTCATGTTGAAAAGAATCCAACATCATCCAAGTGTGAAGTATGAACACAATCGTGCGCCAGTTGGTGAGCCACGTCTGTCCAAGTTTCCATACCATTCCTCTTTTTTGGAGGAGGGGCGGTCCCCTTAAACACGGCTACCAAAACGGGATGCCTTTTTCCCATGGCCACGGGCCTGGGGTCTGGTAAAGCGCGTGTCCGAGGCGCAGAGCTCCAGACGCAGCTCCTGCGGCGGCTTTCCGTCGAGCTCCGCCAAGGCCGGGCCCAGCTCCGCGTCCCAGCGCACAGAGCTCACGGCGGAAAGGGCCCAGCACCGGAGCAGCACCTCGTTGGGGCCAAAGGTCCCCAGGTAAAAAGCGGTAAAAAGGCCTTCCAAAAAATAGAAGCCACATGACACATACGACGCTGCATCACAAGAGTATTCATAAGATGCCAAAACCAAAAGTTTCCCAGGATAAACCGGATTTGAGGGCACCGTTCCATTTGAGTCTTCAAGTTGGAGGCCCTAACATGCAAGGCTTGCACCACTTGTCTATGTTTGCTGCAGCTTTGAATGAGCTAAACAAGTTGCACGATTCGGATAGAGAGACAGGGAATCATATCAGGCACACCCTCTTTCAGTGGCCTTGGAATCCACCACGCAACCACTTCTACGCAGACATACGTAGGCAGGTCCTGTAATTTGCGGCATTCCTATGTGTTTCATTCAGGCCTCTTGGTCGAAGAAGTTGACAAAGCGCCTCACGTAGCTCCGGAACACGTCTCTGTGGTGAGGCTGCTGGACCCGCCTCAACGCCTCCTGAGCCGATCCAACCTATCTGACACATTCGTCCAAGCCGGCGCGATTCATATTGAGAGGCATGCTCCAAAGGCGAGCTACCCAACTGCATGGCTTCTAAATCATGCAGGGCAGCGCACGCGAAAAGCGAGAAGGAGGAGAAAGAGCGCGAGAAGGAGAGAGAGAGAGAGAGAGAGAGAGAGAGAGAGACAGAGAGAGAGATCGAGAAAGAGATGTTGCAGAATTCAGCCAGCAATAATTTGAACTATACTTGAACAACACACATGCACCCTGCTCTGAATTTGAAATTGAAGGGGGGCCGGATCAATTGTTTGGAGACATTGCGAACAGTGCCAGATCTTTACGAATGGAATGGGGGAGGCGTGGCTCCTGGAATTCCAGTTGTGTTCCATCCAGTTTTGTTCCATTCTCCCCTTGTGAAAAAGATTGGATACATGCAAGTAGGATCCCCCCCCCAGCTTCCCGTGTGAGCTTTGAGGCCGCTTGGATATGGAACTCCTTGTGGGGGACAATACGGTGTAGAGGGCAATAGCTGGGATGACTTTCCTTCAAGCTTCCAAGCTCTCCGTATAATATCTTCGCCGTGGCGCAGCCATGCTTTTGTCTCCTTTTCTGCGCATCGGTGTTTATTTCTATATCTCTGTTTATTAACTGTTCTAATTATCTCCTTCTGCGTGTCTCTTTGTGTTTATAACACCCGTCTCTCTCTACAATACTTCCTATACAGGACGCGCACACACACCCCAAAACATCACAGCAAACAAAGCAAAGTGTGTTTTCAAGCAAACGCATCAGGAACACCACATCAACCTGGAGAAAGCAAATAATTCAATGACCTTCTGCAAATCGGGACACAGAAAAACACATATAATATACACTTGTCGGCTATGGTCGGCATGCTCCCTGTGGCCCAATGAGAATACTATGCCAATCGCATGTTTAAGCACAACAATTGTTATTCGCTGTGGGTTGGCCTAACATTTGGCGCTACATCACATCACTGGGTCAACTATATAGCATGTGTCTTAACTACGGCTCTGTCACATTGACTGCCATGTAGCAACTACAATGCCATAATCTAGGTTCAAACCACGTGTGTTGAATACGGTTGACCTTTGAATGGCATAAGCATTGGTATGGTGGCATGTCAGGCATAGTGACTTTGACAATCCTTGATTTGCCTGTCAGATTGATATGGTTCTTTTCATAAAATGGCGGCGTCTACATGTTGCATGGCTGTAAGCAAAAAGGCAAGCATGTGTGCCAGCAATCGTCCAACAATGATAAAGCATACCAGAGCACACCACATGCATATCTAATACATATTGAGCATACTATTTAATATTACCGCATTCAGCAACTTAATTACTATTATTACATTATATATGTCCTGAAAAATAGGCATAACGCGAATGTGACCCATGAAATGAACTGACTAACGGACATCGTTGAGTGTATGCACACACACACAAACATGCCAATGCAAGAGCTGGAGCATATACGCACAATGCAAAATATCCTATATTCTCAATGCAAAAGCGGTGCATGCTCGAAGTACCCCGATCTCCTAAAACGGGGACAACCACCTACTCATCAGCCAGGGTCGCACTGAACGGACTCTAACATTAGACAACGTACTGCAAGTTCAAACAGCTGCTGTGCTATTCAATAGGGTCATGTACATATCTTGCAAAGGGGAAATGAGCTCCTAGAACACCCCCTATTCCATCAGCCAGGGCTGCCATGAAAGGACTCTCAAGAGAAACAAGGTGAACAAGAGTACAGGGAGAAAGTAGATAGCACGATTCCAGCCCATTTGGGCTAAAGTGAGGTACCAAAATGGATTGGGAATTGTGGGAAGTGTACCACTTCCCCCCGACTTTACCGCACGCGCCGAGCCAGCCGCTCCTTGAAGCCATCGGGCCCCGGCCGCGCCGGCAAGCCCCGGAACCTGCCCGGCAGGGCCTGAGGCTTGGGCAAGTCCTGGCAACAGCGGCGACCGAGGCGCCATGCTGCAACCCCATCAAATGGCCCTGGTAGTGCCAGTGCCGCCTTGTGGGGGTAAACCATCAACAAAGATCACTGAGTGGAAAAGGAGAGTACGGCTGCCTGGACCCTCAAGCGAACCAATCAAAAAATGGTTGATCTTATCGCAACTTTGTGGGGTGAAACCCTGAAACATGATTGATATTGCCGCATCAGCAGTGATTTCCACATTTGCTTCGTAGGTTGAAGGCTCAGGTGGCATTCCGCCGGGTTGGGGTCCCCCAGCAGCTCCAGTTACACCGCGGCAGGGTTGAGTTAATGAAGGTCTCACCCCCCTCAAGGATGCCATACTCAGGAATCTGCAGGTTGGTAAGTTGGCACTAGGAACCCCGGACTCATATTATGAATCCATCCATTCAGAGCAGCCAGTGTTTTAGTCTCCCGCACGGGGGATGGCAAGCATTGTATTCCCCCTAACAGACACAATTTAGCGGGAAAAAACAGCAACATTTTTTGAAGTTTGCCCAAGCGGTTGCTAAAAACAAAAAAGAAGCTTGTGCGAAACTAACTGGTTCACCAGCTTGAAGCTTTAATGGAAAAGCCCTTTGTTACCAAGAGGTCTCTCCAAACCGATTCGGTCAGAACAAACAGCAGCCATGCAGAGGGCGGGAGGCCTTTCTGATTCTTTTCCTCGGTCCTTGGTGAGCATCCGCCAGTCCAGGCCCAAATTCTCCGGCTGCGAGAACCGATGCAGGGCCGTGCAAGCGGGGCTCGACTGCATGTGCCTTCGGTCGGTGGAAAGGAGTGACTTTTTATGGCTGATCTGTAAAACCAGGTGATGATGCTCTAAACTGGCCCAGGGTGACGCTTACAACCAGCAGGCTTGCGTTGATTTTGAGGGTCCCCTTTTCGCTTGGCCTAGAAGGAACACCATCATTTTTGGAGCCCTGCCCCTTTGACACATACCCTAACTTATGCAGTTAAGGGAGGGGTCCCTGCAAAAGGTTCCCAGGTTTCGCCTTACATCGCGGCAAGGACAACTCACTTAATCTGCAAATCGATCGTTGAAATGGGGGGTTTCTCAAAATTACGGCTCCCTTCTAGCGGGCTTGGCTTGCTGTTTCTCTTTAACAAAGACAAAAATAAACCCTCTGAGCAACGCCCAAAGGGCGGAGAAAGGATCACTGGATGAAGTTGGCTTCCCTGAGGCTAAGGTTTCGCCCACCTGGAGCCCACCCAAGGCTTCCCATAAACTTCTCAGCCAGGTTCCCTATGCTAGCTGCAATCCCCCTATCAGGGATCCCTGCTTTCAGCAGAACCTCAAGAAACAGAATGCCCATTCCACCTCAAACATCACCCATTCAAACAAGACTCAGACTCACCTTCAAGTAAGAGGCCCAAAAGTCTTTCAAAGGTACCTAAAAGGGAAATATAGGGAGCCCTGTCCGACGAAACAGCCAAGCATACATCTCACCCTACGTCAAGGCAGCAAGGGGGTGGGGCCTGACTCCCAGTTGTCTTCCAACCAAAATGGGAAAATGGCTCGCTACAAATATACCAAGGGTTTAGAGCGTGGTTTCTCTTTGGCTTTCCTGTTGGCTGCCCGCGAAAACCCAGCGAGACTCAAGAACAGAAACACCCACACACAAACGAACGGAAGCCCGGCTTGGCCCAACTTAGGTCATTGCCACAAGCGTTTGCAACGGTCTGAAATCCCTCCCGAGTGTGGGATTAATGACCAGCAGAAATCACAACCCCCAAACCCTATTAAACAAGTTTTTTCACAGTATGTACCCACCAATCAGCGAACAGCCTGATCCGATGGATGGAGAACATCCTGCTCCAGTTGGTAGGTGGTTCATCCCAGTTTTCATACGGTTTCTTCCAACGAAGTGGAGCAGCCACAACACTGTGCGCACCATGACATGCTGAACATAGCTGCGAATCTGTCTGGGGCATAATCGACATTCTGATGTCCCAGGGCAGACTTGGGGTAAATCAAATGGCATGATCCGGCAGGCCTACTTCCCTGCAAAATGGCACGAAACCACGAGGTTCCTCGAAAAAACACGATTGTTCGGTCGGATTCTTCACTTGGTCAACGTTCAACCCCGGCCCAGGATTTGAATCTGGTTTGCCACCATCATCTCAGGCAAGGGCAAACGTGTAAGGTTGGTACCAAACATTGACCCAGGCTCATATGCAGAGTTGTCGACTCCAAGCTGCGGTAAGAAATCCACAGCGCCCCAAATCCAGCCCATGTCAAGCTCCTGGAGAGGTCAATCCCAGGGATGATTTGGGTGTGGCTCAAAAGGTCGAGGGGAAGGCGGGGAGGGGAAGAGGGTGCTACTAAAAAAAAAACCTTGAGCAGGCTCAAAAGACGTTTTCTTAGAGGTCCCTTTCAAACATCACCGCCAAAGGGAAGTCCAAAACTACCAAACAGAGACATGATGGGAGCCCGTGTAAAAACAAATGCAGCTTTAATTAGTGGTGCATGTCATAAACGCTAGCAATCTAACAGTGCATGGCTCGGAACCGCCAAGCTTCTTGCTCCTAGGGTATGGGGCTTTTCAATTCCTGTCGGAGCATCTCTCGGCCAGCCCATTCATGCACCATCACGAAATTGGACATTCCATGTGCCAAGTCATTCAGATCTACATCAGTGAACTCACTCTGCTTATTTGTTCACTGTTTGCACTTCACATGCCTATGCACATGAAACAATAAAAGTGTGTGGAAATTGGTGATTACACATTGGTAACCATTCTCATATGCGTACTTACACACGCGACAGTGGGGCCTTGCCCCAGCTTATTGCCAAGCAACGGCATAAGTCATGTTTGTTGGCGTAAGCACTAAGGTGACGTGAAACTATGGTTTGGGCCATGACTGTTAACTAAACATACCGCATTCAAGGCGGGAACTCAATCTCTCACAAAGTCGCCCAAGTCCCCTCGAACAAAATGGGACACGCCCCCTAATAATCAACCAAGGATTCACGAACTGTGTGTCTATTGGGACATTCTCAAAAAGGTGGACGCCTTTTAGAAGGCATTTAGAAGAAAACCAAACGGAACCCAACCATTTTAGGAGACTCCGATCTTAAGATTTGAGGAACTCTCAGTTGGGCTCCGCGAAATCGAAAAACACAAACACAAACAAACAAACATGTAAAGGCCAGGTGACCCGGTCAGTACGGCCAGCCTACACGAGAAGCGAGCCCATTACATGGGTTGATCAGGATGAAGGACGCCTAACGGGCTTCCTATTGGCTTCATTCCTCCCCTGTTGTAGAGAAACAACGCAGTGGGGTTCCCATCCCTGAGACCACATTGTCATATTAAAGGGGATCCTTTGGCATCACTGAACATTGCCCCAAACCCAGTTTTGCACAAGGCAGTGCTACAGTGGCAGAACACTACAACACCGCGTGCCGCCAGCATGAGGCATCAGTACTTAGGATGGTTTTCCGCAGTGCTCCTCAATGTTTTCAAAGGGCATGTCCAAGTCGCTGTTGAAGCTTCGCAGAATAGCGACCCAAAAGGATGCACCATGGCTATCCTCGGCAGGCAAGCGAGGGAACACACAAGTGACAGCAAATGACTAGAAAACAACCTCATGGCAAATGTACGAAAGCAGTGCTCGAGCTCGTTAACAACCACAAGATATTAGATATACAAGTCCTCCTTCTCATTTATTTTGCGCAAGCTGCGGACACAGAGCATAGCCAAAAGACTTATCAACCAACTGCAGCAACCTAGATCTGGCGACGCTCTCCCAAACCTAAGGCCCCTCGACCCAACAAAGGGGCTAATCATCAAGCTCCGAGGAGGGCACGATGTGCAAAGATGTGGATTGTCAAATGGTACATCACTTCAGCGAATCGTGGAAGCGTTCGTTCCTTTTGGGGCCTCCCTGCCCCTTCAAGGATTGTTGTGTGTGTGTGTGTGTGCGTGTTGAACTTTGGAGGGCAACCGATGCAAAACCACATTTTGGGTGTCCCTCTTATGACACAAACGGTCGCGCGATACAAGGAACCCGGCGAAATGAACACAACCAGGGGCCCCTCAAAAGAAATCCATCCTGAGAACAGTTGACGCAAAGCAAACATTGTGCATCCAAGATTCCAGATTCTCAAATACCTCATAGCGGCGTTGGAAAAGAAACTTGAGCGGCGAGAGGAAGGCGGCATGTAAAGCATTTCGCTTGTGCCTGTCCAAGAAAGCCGCCGCATGCTGGCAAACCGCCTGAGCACTATGGGTACCGCCGCGGCATATGGGAACAGGTTCCTCTGCTTGCATCAAGTCGTAGATGCAATACTCGAAAACCTCCTTGTGCCGACCGACGCAGTTGTAGCAGGCTTCGTGCATCTGAAGGAGTATGTTCACTAAGAGCTGCTTCCTTTCATCAGTGTCCTCACAGGCAGCCAGGGTTGGGCCAACTAATTATCCATGCACATAGTGCACATGCTTAAAGAATTCTTGGTTCAACAATAAATACTGGTTCTCCTTGAACAGTTGCCCTGGCCTGGGGGCGTTAGACTCAAATACATGCAACCCTGGCTGCAACTCATCGGAACACCCTGGAGCATTGGGATTCACTGGGGTAAGGCAGCATTATGATTCGTGCGCCTTCAGACAGACAACGCAACGACAACCCAAACTCGCATTCTCCTGCAATCAATGCAATCAATATTCCTTTGCTGCAGCTGCTGTTGCGCAACGAGACTGAGACACTGAATTCAGGGGTTAATGCGGAAAAAAAGCTGCCGCCGCCATCAACAATAGCCACGAGAAACAAACAACATATGCAACACCGGAGGAATCATAAGGAGAAACATAATGACAGTAGACCATTGACACCCAATATCTATTCGCAAATGCATCGAAGTGTCAAAGGCCTACGGCCATGCATGCTGAATCTCAATGCCTTTTGTGGCATCTTGCTTTCCATGGCTTTCTGGCAGCTTTCAAAGGGTGGCCTTGTCTCTCTAGTGACAACGGCCGATTGCATGAGTCCGTCTATGAACCCATGGCCTTGCCGCACCCCTTTGGCCACAATCTAGACCAAATTAACGATGAAGTCAGCAAGAAACTACGTAATCGTTCCAAAGGGCGAATATGGTATGTATCAAAGTCAGGGGCCCTCATTTTGTTGGTTCATTATGGCTCCCATTCAAGACAATTCAGAGAAGGCTATGCAGAAAAGAGAGAGAGAGAGAGAAACAAGCAAACAAACAAACCCATACATGGCTGCATGCATTCAGCCTTTGATACCGGTCGTCTCCGGTTTCCACCCTGCCTCCAGGTCTGCAAACCATTTCCTCAGCTCATATAGTGGGACCTTGACTCAATATGGGCCAAATATTTTGGCAAACTTAATCAGAAAGGTCAAACTAGTTGCAATCCAAACTCAAGGTGCAAAGCACATTCTCGAAAAAGACCTCTGAACTTCTCGAACTTCATATGAATTCGCTTAAAAGCAACCCGACGTATTTGGGGAGAAACAATACATCTGCAGCCGACGCCGTATATATTGCAAGTCAGGAACGTGGGAAAGCTTGTAATTTGATTGTAAATGTGCCGGGTGTTTGCGGCTGGATTTGGGTGATCTTGCAATATGGCAGGGGCATCCACCAGGCCAAGTTGCAGGTAGATGTGCGCCAGGCTCCTCAAAGGCACCCGGCAAGCCACCCGGCGGGTCCAAAAGAGGCTGGGCCTCGCGTGACCGGGCTCACATGGGGCGCACGTGTTCAGACTGCCAGCATGACTCACAGGTCCTGGAACAACTTTTAAAGGGAAACCCTTACAAAACACTTTTCCCCTTGAACATCGCCCCAAAAGAGCTCTTGCTTGTATTTGGGCAAACGCTGATGTTTAAAACCACCAGGCGCAATGTAGGCAATCCGGCTTTCACCAATCTTGCTTAAGCGGTCAATGCCTGGGTTCTTGATTTATTCTTGCATTTCATATTTCCCTTGAGCGGCTTCCTTTGGGTTTCCCTTTCAAAGGGAGGAGGGAGGATTTGCTGCTCAGTGGGGCATTTCTATCTACAGTGGTAGTCCACCTTCTTTTTGGGAGGGCTATACATACACAGCACGTGCCCGTTCCGAAACCACGAAAGCCACGGGTCGAGACGGACCAAGACCCCGATTCCCCCCCCCCCTCCGCACCTCACGTGCCCAAACTGCACGTCCGTCCCCGGCACCGCTTTGCAGGGCACCTCCTCCGTTTCCTGCGATTTGGTCGCGATTGGAAAGTGCCATTGGCAAACCATGTCAGGGTCATCGTCTAGCTAGGCTCATTGTCTAAATTCCCCAAAATCCATGACCAGCCACATTGACAGCAAGTAAGCGATTTGGTCTGGCAGAAATGGCTGGACTGGGGATGGGTATAAGCGCTTGTTTGAGTTGGTGATGGCAATTATTATTCTTAATCTTGCGTCGAAGGGCGTTCCCCATTAAACTCATAGCCAAATGGGTGGGAGGGTGGGGGGGGCATGTTGATTTTTACCTTGTCTGGAAAAACGGGAGTTGGGTGTTGGTGTGGGGGGGGGGGTGATTGCAAAAGGGAGCCAAAGTGAGAACCTGTCCATTTGGCGGCTTCCAACCCATTTTCAAGCACCCCCACCCCCCAGCATGTTGAAAAAAAGCCCACCCGCCGTTACCTAAACTGCAAAGGGCGCTCACAAAGGGAACTGCACCGTTATTGGAAGAAGCCATCAACATGGTGGCTTTCCTTTCAAACAAACACCAATTAATGGTACCGCTGGGGCTCCCACCCTGGTTCATCACCAGTTGAAAACATGTTGCAGTCTATAACCTAAAAACCCACACAATACAGTTAAGACCCCGTTGTCCATCGTGCCCATAACACGCCCGCCCACCCACCCACCCACCCACCCACCCACACCCACCCACCCACCCACCCACCCACCCACCCACCCACCCACCCACCCACCCACCCACCCACCCACCCACCCACCCACCCACCCACCCACCCACCCACCCACCCACCCACCCACCCACCCCACCCCACCCCACCCCACCCCACCCCACCCCACCCCACCCCACCCCACCCACCCACCCACCCACCCACCCACCCACCCACCCACCCACCCACCCACCCACCCACCCACCCACACCCACCCACCCCATTTGGAGGCAGGGATGTTGACATTCTCCATGAGGTTGACATCACCCCAGTAAGTTTTTACAGGGAAAGAATTGGCACCTTTCTGCTTGCTGACTTTCAAGAGTTGCTCCACAACAAAGCTGGAAAAGGAAGCAGCCCACAGGGTGTCTGGAATTGAACTCCATGCTGAGCAGCCGAGCCTGAAATACGAATCGGATCCCCGAAAAAAGGATGTGTTTCGCTCGTTTTGCCCGCGATTGGTGAGCTCTTGGCTCGGCGAGAGCAAGACCCCGACAAAACCCCCGACAAAACTGTGAACTTTTGGCTGGCAATGTTAGGCCCGTTGCTCCACGCCAAGCCGCAAAGCCTGGCTCCCCGAGGCAAGTGAGCAGCGTGCTGTGCACCGGCACGTTCAGCTGATGCTCCGCGGAGTTGTCCGCAAAGACCGTGACCCGCACAAAGGGCGCCCACTCCTACGGCATGCCATGGTCCCGGCCAAGACGGATTCTATAGACTTCAACCTAACAAAAACAACAATGCTGATATGTTCTTGCATCCCCAACCAAAAACAACGTGTTTGGCTATGGCCTATTTATCAATTTATTGACATCCATTTCCTGCCCTGCAGCAAGCATGCAACCAACATATGTGGTGAACCCCACTAGGTAAAATACTCCCCTGCAGATTCAAGCCTATCGTTATTTGAGGAGTGTCGGACCCTCTTTTCCGTTGAAATGCAGAAGGTTATGCATAATAAAGTGGGTTGGCAACCAACCAGTATGAATCAACCGGTATGAGCCCGCGTTGTCAAACACGAGTTTCTCGAAATGGCGGACCCAGGGCGGCCAACAGGAAAACAGCCATCATCACCGATTCCAATTTCGAACTTTTGACCACTAAAGAGACCCCAGTCTCCGTGGTGACGCTGTAGCAAAAAGCGATGCAGCGCCGCAGCGTGACATCCAGGGACTCGGAGGGAGGAGACTTCTGGGCTTCCTCCTGAGCGGAGCCCCTCCTTTAACATTAAAAAACTTGGCACACATCTGGGCCACACAGACAATAATAATTTACAGATTCTCGGCCAATATTTGCTGCAAAAAACTGCTTGTAGACAACGCACTCCTTTAACATCAACATGCACTCATGGCGGTGGGAAATGGATCAACTTACAACGTCATGTCATAAATGTGATATACTTACTTATTCTCCGATTCGCCAGAACACTAACACACCTTTTTTGGGTGAACTACTTCGGGTCACGAACCGACCCAACCTGAAAAGGGCAAAGCGCGCCATTGACCAACTGGGGCTATGTCTATGTCCTTCCGAATGTTTCAAAGCCACTTCTCCTGCTAGCAAGGGGGGTGGGAAAGGATCACGCCATCCGCTTCATCAACACTATCCTACCAGATACTCAGTTGCAACAATTGTTTTGTTTTGACCAAAGCACCATTCTGACATCAGCCGGCCGCCCACAATCATGAACACTTAACAGAACGCGTTAAATATCCCACTCACCCCCTGACGCTAACTGTCAAGGAGCGCGCAAACCCTTCTTGTCTTGAGGTCAGCTCTACTTTCTGGCCCTTTTTTCAGCCTGCAAGCTTCTGCCACGTCGTGTGCCAGGGCAGTCGTGCCTTTCACACCGTGTCCTATCAAACATGAGGCACCGTGCAACTTGCCAATACAGGGGACAAACCAATTTTGAGTGCTGAGCTCAAGAGGTACGCTATGGATGTTGCAAATTCGCAACACCAAGGCCAACACATACAACCTGGCACCATCCAAACAACCAACAAACAGCCAAGACGGCCTTGGACACCCAGCTTGCCAACTGTTGGTGAACGTTTACGTGAGAATTGATGTTCAGCTATTTGTAAGGTTGTTCCACAGAATAAGTCTCACTCCAATGCAGGCTAACATCAAGCCCAACAAAAAAACATCTTTAGCGGAATGATTATTGTGAACTTGCAGGCGATCAATAAGGGTATCTCCTAGCCGCCTTGAAGAAATGCGCGTTAGTAACATGTCTGGCAATTCCACGTTCCTCCCTTAATGACTCACTGGTTCTATAGGCCCATGTGCTAGCTAGGCAGTGTCAACCATGGAGCTTTGTTGCGTGCGAGGCGCCACAAGCCTTGTCACCCGCTGCTTGTACTGAGAGGCTTGCAGTTCCACAGGCAGCCGCACCTCCTCATCGCGTGCTTTCTCTTACAGCAGGGGGTGTCCCACTAACCAAGAGGCACAAAATCGCTCCAACCAAGTCCCTCTAAAAGTGCCTCAACTGATTCGTTTGCGTTTTTGGTTCCAGAACTGTTTCACCAAAAAATCGCACTATGCTTGAAACTCGCATCTTTGGACCAGGTTTTTGGAAACAAGTCGAGCACCCTGCCTCATCTTCTGGGCAAGGTTTCTGCGAAAGGCTGCCACCCATGGCACGAGGGTGCGAGGGTCCAGCCTGTTTGTTTCGGAAGGCTCCGCTTCGGGAGAGCTTCGTAGAAAAGTTGGGCCGTGTAAAAAGTTGGGCCAGAAGAAAAGTCCTCAAAACAAAATGATTGGACGAACTCCAAGCCCAGCCAGATTTGCTTGGAAAATCACGAGTTCAAAGTCGCCCCCTGTTTGCAATTGTCTAGCCTTAGTACTTCAGGTTTTGGGGATTTGTCATTGTCTTCCTGTTTGCAATTGTCTAGCCACCTTGTTGTTCGCCCAGGCTCTTGCAAGGGTACACTTCCGCACATTGTATATCACTGGTTTGGGGCTGTCGACGGCTTGTCTGCTTGGGACACGTATTGCTATGTCTTGTTTAGCCCATTAGCTGTGCGCTACTCTGCTTAGCCACCAAGGGGCTTCCAAGATGTCAAGGTAGGCCTGAGCCTTTGAAGCACGCAGCTGGACTTCTTGGCACTACCTCGGAAAGCCTGAAGGTATCTCCTCTGGCCTTTGGGAACTGTGTGTCTCGATTTGATGGCACCTTAGTAACCTTTTTGGTATTCCTTTACAGCCACTGCACAAAAGGGTACCGACACACCCCGCAAAACTTTTTACCCAACGGCACCCTGCAACCCTCCAAAATGGCAAAACAACATGGGGAACCTTCGGCAGGCGTAGCCAACGAGTTCAGCAATGGCAATCTGCACAATGCCGGCAGCCGGTTGCAAAGGCGATCGACAAATAGTACAAACTCAGGGATCCCCAAGTGGGGGACATCCATCATAGTGCCCTCGTTTTGGCCCCAGTCACGCTTGCCATAATCAAAATAGAATGCAACAACGGCTCTGTGGATTACGTAGACAGTGCTTGCAGGGCTCATCAGCCTGCACCTTTGCCAATCCCTCGCACTGCTGTTTTTCTGTACGGCCGCATCGAATCGGCCCACGAAAATCTACATGCCCACTTTGCGCGGCATCCTCTCACGTCACGTAATTATACTTAGACTTAGCAGGTAGGAAAAGAATTGGGCGGATCACCTTCGCCCTTCCCTCTGCACAAGTTGTCCGCAAAGCTGAGCGGCAGCTTTCAGGACATGAGCTCCTGACGATCCGGCTGCAATGCATGGGGTTGAACAGCTGTTCTGTGTTGTTCACTACATGAAAGATTCCCAATCCTAATCCGCAATCCTCAGCGGGTCACAGCTTCAGCAAGGGAAACTACAGGATTCTGGCTTGAACAACCAAGTCTTTCTGCTCCTTCACTGTTTGCAATGTCTGCCCGAGCTGAACTACTAGTGCACCATCCCTTGGATTTTGCGCGGCAACCCCATGATTCCCGCCAGCCATGTCCTGCATATGTTGACCTTGAACCTCACCACGTTAAGTTCATAAGATTCAAGCCCCTTCGAAAAAAACCAGCTCAACCGCAAGTTAGTCAAATACCAATTAAATGCCAGGGCGTTGGTTCCCTTCCTGTAGAATAACCTGCGCCAGTTGGGATGGCTGAAGCCCCGCAAATATTGGGGTGAAACACTACCAACTGGCGCAGGATTTCGTCCATCCACGGTGTGAGTCTGAGGTGTCCTGAATCTTGCCGCTCTTCAGAAGAGGCTTCACGCCACCCATGCCGCCTTGGCTGGCTGTCTCTCCCAAGGCCAAAGCTCCCCCCTAAAAAAAAGACTGAATTCGGATTTGCCGAACCCTAATTTACGCCCTTGCACCGGCAGCAACACCACGCCCCAATTTGAAGCTGGCCATGGGCAAGAAAGGGCACCCCAATTTTGGTAGTTGGCTTAAGGAAGCCAAAAAGGATCTGGGACAGGTGGGTCTGTCGCAAACCAAAAATGGTTTTAAAGAGAAACCAGAGAGAAAACTTGTGTTGAATGCACCGCGGCACCGTCGTTGCATCCTCCGACGAAGTTGCCCTTGACCCAAACCTTGGGAACACTTGTCGACCCAGTCTTCTCCGCAACCTCACTCCTGGCACGCCAGTGAGTCTTTTGTGGATCCCGACCTCACCAAACACCAGGGATGAGAAACCCTGCCTCCACATGCCCTAGAGGCCGCTTGGCAGGGGCTGCAACGACAATTTGACAGAGCTTGTGCACATTGGGACCCTGGCTTTTTCGACCCCCCACCAAATCCGCGAACCGAATGGCAAAATGGAGGATAAACACAGGTTTGGGGTTGGAAAAACGAGCGGGTCCCCGCCCCCCTTGTGCAAACACTGCGAGTGGTGCCAGGGGTTCTTGCCGCTCGTGTCTCGAGTTGCATGACTGCCGTTTCTCACTTCCTACACATTGATTCGGGGTTGTTGAGCTCGATAGACCTCCGCTTAAAATCAGGATGCTTGCTTATCCCTGTCTCCTTGGCTCCGAAACCCCAACCTCAAAATTGTTTTTGGCCTACAAAACATAAGTGGTGAAGTGCAGGTTTAACCAGATACACCTGTTCAGGGTCCCCCATGCTGGCCGATTCTCGGCGTCCTCAGAGCAGACCCAGGCTGGACTTCGACAATGAAAGGTGGATATCCCGATTCCTTCAGAGCGGCCACCTGAGCTCGGTGAAGAGCTCGAGCGAAGGCAATCCATCCCAAGGCAAACCGCCCGAAGGCTTTTGTCAAATGCTCATCAGCAGGGTAAGCCAAACAAATATCATACACCTTCTGGGTTAGCTTGGGGAAAAACGGCTAGTGGCAATTAGCACAACGGAAGGCTTGTTGTCCCTTCATCATGGTTTCAAAAAAGGAAAGAAGACGAGCAGGCGGGACTTCGTTTTGGCCTCCCCTCAAGCCAGCCTGAAGCCAGTCTCCCCCAAAAACAAAAGCGCACGCCGATCTGCGTGTGCCAAACGCGCCGTTTTCCATCTGAGCCTTGCACTGCTGCCTGGCAAAACGGGCAGGTAGGTGTGATGAAGGCCACGATATCCTCGGGAAACTGGTTGGGCCAATGAGTCTTGAGGGTACCAAATCTGTTTCCATCTGCTTCCGGCACACCTGCTTCCACCAAATCTGATTCCCTTCTTGAGGGTGCCATTTGTTATTTTTGATTTGACCTTATCCGAAAGAGAGTCCTTTGTTTTTTCGGCTTTATGCCAAAAAAAGGGCCCTTGGTTTTGCACCTGGCCCAGATGAACCCGTTGAGGGACCCGGTTTTCAGGCTTGTGCAAAGGGAAGGCAGGAAGCCAAACGGAACACCACCATAGCCACGGTGCGTGGCAATTGATTAGGGCCCTTCATTCGCATTGTGGCAACTCCTTATGCCAGATATGGCTATGGTCCCATGAGAGGAAACCTCAGAATGGCGCTCTCCAATCACTAGAGTACCTATTAAAGGGTCCATGACCAACCCCAAAAGCACCAAGCTTCTCGACACGGAGTGGAATCCCAAACTGTGTCCTCTGGGCCTTTGGCCCCTGTAGCTGTTTCGGTCAGAGATCGAGAATGCCGCGCCTCTGGGTCAAACACCCCTCCCGTATAGGTCAAAATGCAAAACCTGGGGTGTCCTAACATCGACCCAGCAAACGAGACTCAGGTTCAAGTTTCTGACATGGCAACTGATGCAGAGCATGTGCAGAGCGGCAAGAAGGGGACATGCAGGGAGCCGCGTGATTCCTTGGCCGTGGCGCATGTTCTTTGATGTACTCATCCACCGAAGCACCTCAGCCAAGGAAAAATGGTAAGACAGCAAGAACCAAGGCGACACAACATGTAGGGAATTTGCCAAACAAACAAGGTACGCAAGCTTGTTGCCTCGTCATCTTGCAACGGGCATTGTAAAGCATCCTCGTTTGAACACACATCCCTCACGTATCTGAAGGATACGATGGCTTTGGACATGCGCACATTTGTGACAGTGACGCCTGGGGCCAGAGGTTCAAAGGCATCCAGGCTTGAACCTTAATTTGGGACCCTTTAGTGACTTGAGTGGACGCGATTTCCCAACCAAGCACTGTTGACGGTTCCCCTCTTAAAAAAAAAAACAAAAAAACAAAAAAAAACAGTGCAATCCGAGCAACGCAGGGCTGTGGCCGCTCTCGCCTGCGCTGATCGTGGTCAAGACAAGTATTTTGAAGTTGCTCTACAATTTGTTGGCACAGCCTCCGAGCAGCCAGGGGTCATTTTAACAGATTTCTTGAAGAAGACATGTTGGCCAATTGGAAAACCATTTTTTTACCAGCTGCTTCAGTGTTTCTACTTGCGCCGGGTGATTTTTAGGTGTATCCTCTGGAGGGTCCTGCTCAAGCATAAGGTTATATAAGTGTTTCAGTTGATACGTGATAAACACTTCCCGGTAACGCTATTCAACAGTTGTTCGATCTGTGATTCCTACTTACATGTACAAGCACAAACGTGCGTAACGCACACAGACTAAAGGTGGTCGGGGAGAGCGCGGCCTGAGGGTTGCCACAAGAATACGCCGCTGCAAAACCATCCCCCAGCAGAAATCAGTTTGTGGGAGTAGTGAAGCTTTCAGGCCAGCAAATGTTTGGCGTAAGGTCCACGAAAGTTTCGCGAAAGTCCATGGACCTCCCAACCAGTTTCCGGACATGCGCCAACAAGGTCCCCTCGTGTGCTGCCGCACGGCTTGTGAGTTGGAGCTGCGGAAGCGCTTCGCGTGCTAACTTGGAACTGAAAGGTTGCGACTTTGGCGCTGGGGCTGAAGTTTGCTTCGTGTGCTACTTCCGTATTGAAAAGATGCGACTTTGGAGCCGGGCTGGGGAAGTTTATTTTGTGCATTGCCTGCGTATCGAGCAGTTAAAAGCACACGGTTGATCATTCCTTCCTGAGCCACCCTTGCACAAGACTTTCGAGAAAACAACAAAAACCTTTCGCGACCTCCCTTTGCAAACTTTCAGGTCAAGTGAAGTTAGCATGCCACCTTCCTCCCCCGCATTTCCCTTCTGCACTCAGAGATTCATAGTGGGAGGCCATATTAGCCAGTGTGGACCTGAACAGGCTTGAAGATTCCTGCTTTATGATGGCCCAGGATGAACAAACTGTGGTTGATGATTCGAAGATGTCCCATTTTTGGTGGGAATCCTTCACTATATC